TTTTTTTGGCTCAGGCTGACATTGGAGAACTCTAGATATAACCAGAAGCCAGACAGCAGAATTTCAGCCCTGACGTGGAATAGACACTTCTGTTAGGGTCTACAATTCTTCTCATTTTATGTATTTCATAAACMTTCCTGTCCACTAAATATTTTGTCTTTATAGTACAATGGGGAAAATAATCCAAACCCTGCAGCTAGAGAGACATTTCAGCAGTCTGTCTTCATAYATCCACTCTGGATGCCTTTTAAGCCACACTACAGTAATTTTAAAAGCACTTTTGAATATTGCTCATGAAATTTGCCTCAATTTAACAAAATCAGATGTTTTTAATTTAAATTTCCCACAAGCGTTAGCAGCATATTCCAAGAGGTGTTGGTAGGGCCATTTCAGTGTCCTCCACTCCAGTTGTTAGTTAAGTTCATTCATCAAAATAGTTTCAATCCCAACAAAATGGAAATTTTAGCTAGCAATTAGGAAGCAAATGTTTGAAGGGCTCTTGTGACTCACTTACTCAGTGCCACATTTCCTTATTTTTGTTTGAAATTGTGCATGCTAGAACCAATGAAAACATATAAAAACTAAGTTAATAAATCAATTCTAGAAGGCAGAGTTTAAAGAAAACCACAAGCCTTATGGGGAAACTGGGATTCAAGACTGGTCTAACTCTGCTGCTAATGTTTTGCACATTGATAGTGTTTTTCCCTTTATGGTGTCCACTTTTCTCTTGTCATAGGATGCAAGCCCTTGGGACAGGAACATTTAGTTCTGACTTCAGATCATAAATATGAGAAATGTTCTAGCCAGAGAAAACAAAAAAGAACACCACAAACACATTTATAAAAGCTATGTTGTTCCAATGTTCCAATGACATATTTGGATACTCTTACTTTGGTTCATGCACAGAGAATTCACATCCACAAATGTACAGATTAACCATATTTTCTTAGATTAGTCTTTTCCACTGTTTTCCAAGGGAAAATACACAACAAAATAGGGTTTAGACACTTAAACATGTATTTCATCTTAGGTGCACACAGTTTCACAGATTACAACCACCACCTTGAGGGCACAAGAGCTGACTGGCTGAGAGACTTTGTCRCTCACTTTCTGAAAAGGGCAACTGTAATTCTTCTCAGCAACAGCAGCTGTCAGGGTCTCATATATACTTTATTTTTTTCTCTTGAAAATAGAAAATTAACAGAAAGCCACTGGTTTTCAAAGAACTATTAGCTAAGTGAAGATCATTGGTGCTGAAGCATTATTAGGGGGATCATTATTCCAGAGGGAAAAAAACAGAAAAAAAATAAGACGTGGGCAGCTAACCTGAGACTTCAAATGCTTGGAGGCAGAAGGTAATTACAGAATCAGGAAGCGTTTTCTGAATGTTTGAAGTTTTCAGACTTTTCTTTCAGCCTCCCCCACTCTTTGCATGATCAGTAGCTCCCACCCAACTGCTGCTGTGGTGAAAATGGCACAGAGTTCCCGTGTGTTACAATGCAAATGTCACTTCTTTCTGCAGTGACTGAGACTGGCAGACAYACAAACCACCTACACACCATGACATATCCTGGTTCCTGGACTCATATGCTACCTAAAATATTTTCTTGACATTCTTTCAGTTTGAAAAAGCTGCAACTTTCATAGTCTGCATCAAACAACGTTGCAACTTCCTCATGTGGGCTGCAGCTCTGCTGAGAGCAATGTGCCACGCTTTCCTGTACCCTGAGGAGTATCACACAGACACTAATGAGGCTGTAAGGAGACTGACACACCTAAAAAATACTGATATAATAGGAGATGCTTCAGGGAAGGCTCACTGCCTGACATAAAGCAAATGTAATAAATGGTGACGGTGAAAACATTAGTGACCATCCTACTTCTAMTGAAAGCAACAGACAAGGAGACAAAATGGAATTTCAAATCTCTGTTCTGTTTCCTACTTTCCACCATGCCAACTCTTAGTTTTAGTCTTAGTTTAGTTTTTTTAGACTAAACTCTCTGAATAGTCTCTCAATATTCATGTGTTACGTGGAACAGGCTACTCAAAGACATGGAAAATACCACAGCTGTAATCAGATACAACCTGAAGAAAGATGAGAGTATACTGTGACTGAGTAAGAAATGTCACTTGTTCTGTTTGGCTTTGTTTTGGGTGATTCAAATTTTATTTTCTGCTTTTGTTTTTTTTTTTGTTTATTTTTTTTAATTCTTCTGCATCTTATACATTTTTTTAAAAATATGTTTTTACTTAACAGATATATAAAAAATGGTGAAACAGACAAGCATTATGGAGAACACTACGATGGGTGCACTTTGTACGTTCATGGTGACAGGAAAAGCTATACTGCAGTCATTTTACTCTGTCAGTAAAATATAAATGATTTGAAATCTATTCTATTAAAATACAGGTTGTAACTGGAAAGGCTTTTTTCATAAAAAGAGAGAAAACCAGCCGATATTATGGAGTAAGGATTAGAAAGACCCCAGTGTTATTCCACAGAAATCTTGGAATTCCACAAGCATCTTGGCTTAACTCCAGTCTGACTAAACATATTTATACACCTACACTTTTCTCCACAGTTCAGTGATGTTTATTCTGTTCAAGAAATTTTCCACAACTAAGCAGCATGCTCTTTCTGAGCTATCAATGCTTCTGTGTTTTCATTGGTGTCTAAGAAAGACTCTTGTATCCAAAGCACAGAAATATCCAAGACCTCTTCAMGTCAACAAGAATCCACCCAGGGCAAGATTTCACCCAAGTAAATAAAACATAACTGAGGACTTTGGGATGAAAAATGTTTTTTAAAATGTAAGCTTACTAATGGAAGAAATATATCAGAATTACAAGACTGCGATTATTTTTACAGTTAAATAATGACAACAGGTATTCAAATATTCCTTTACAGTATTTTAYGGTGCACATTTTATGGTAAAAGTGTTAAACAGCCAAAGTGTCTGCACCAGAGTACAAACTTCAA